TAGTTTCGGTTTGAGATTTTTGAAGTTTAGGTATGTGATCGATATGCAAACCAAGAGATAGATGAAAGAAGTCAAGAGAACGGTTTTGAAACGGCCTAGGATTGAGTCTGCAAGAAACGCCCCGAGGATTGGGAACATGCAAGAAACACCGATCCATGTGTTGATTTGTTTGGCCGCGGTGGCCGTGGACTGGCCTAACTCGTTCGTTAGAAATGTTATTAGGTTGCTTGCAAGACCGTAGAACGCAAATCTTTCTGCTATCTCCACAACTGCAAAGATCAACGAATCGCGCGGTTTTAACCTCAAATAAATAGTTGACAAGGAATCACGTACGTACATCTAAATGATCGGTCGAAATTTTGGAAGAATATTCAAATCCATAAGAGTTTTCATGAGATGTTTACCGATGATGAAAATGGCAGCGTTCCAGCCTCCTTTGGTTTGTTTATTAACGATGGAGGTTGAGTCTGCCATGGCTGAAAAATTTTGATAGTCGTCGAAGCTCCAAGATTGTTGTGAGTGTATCTAGACGTTTTTCTTTAGCTATGAAGATTGTTTAGATCACCAAAATGTCCTTTTATATTAGAAATTTGACTCTGATCTCGAGGTATGTTTTTCCTAGTGCATGTGTTTCTTTGTTATATTAAATGCATGTGATGATAGTCTTTGACGAAAGGTGTCCAAGGTTTTTGCTTTATAAGATAATCATTGTAAAATGCATAATGACATGGCGGCGTATTAGATAAAAGTATCACACAGAATAATTATGAGAGATTATTCTAAGTAAACCAAGGTTGTCACTATAATTGTTTATGTTGAGATCTATGGCTATTAACTAATCTAACCGGTGTATTCAAATCAAGTTATTAAAGACTATATCTAAATTCTTTAGGTAGAAGAATTGATTAAAAAACATTTACCATAGAAATATTTGTTTAAAAAGGATTTTATCGTATTTCTTTAAGCTTTGAGTAAAACCTTTCGTTTTTTTTTTTGGTCATCTGTTGTAATATTAAACATGAGTTGTAATAGTAAAACCTTTGGTTAAATCCTTAGATCTTTTCGTAAAGTATATTTTTAAAACAAAAATGCATTAACACAAATTACACATCTTAAGACCATCTTAACTTTTACTTTAAAATATAATAACTCTAAAATAATGGTAAATTTCTCTTTATAAAAAAATAATTAGTGAAATCTCT